GTCTGGCTGCAGACGTCCGCCTGCCCTCCTGAAGCACTGCTGCAGCGGCGCCATTCACTTTCTTCATTCTGCCGTGAAATGAAAGTGAACGGCAGCTGTGGTGGACATATTCATTATACTTGTCAGCTGCAGAAATCCACCTGCCTTCCTGAAACACCACCACGGCAAACAAAACAACCCCATTGCACTGGGCCTCCTCCTGCAGCCAAACGTGCCCAGCCGTGCGTGCCCTTTCCTCAAATGGGCTGTGCATGGGGCGCTTGGAGAGAGAGAGCTCAAGAGAGCTCTCCAACCTCTATTTTTGTGTGTGTGTGACAGTGAGGGAGCGATCTGAAGCTGAGGCACCCAAACTTCTGGCAGCAGTAGGGGTGGCTTCTGAGAAGCCCTGAGAAGCCCTGAGTCAGCCAGCTCCACCTGACCTACTCCCTGAGTCTTGCTGTTCTCTTCACACACACACACACCACTCAAGCAGCAGCAGGCTCTGCGGGACAACAGGGCCTCTCATTTTTCCCACAGCACAGCGTACGCTTGCTACCTCTGCTTGTCTGCTTGCAAGCGGCGATCTTCTCTGCTTCTCTCGGGATGCTGGTGCGGGCATCACTTGTCGGGGCTGAGCAGGGAAGCCGCTGTCACGCCACTCCCCCTCGCTTCCCCAAGTGCAGAGCCAAGGCCATGCACTTCCTCTCTGGGTTGGCCACTGGCAAACAGCCATGCAGCCAACAGCTGCTCAAGGCCCCGCATGCAGCATTGCCCAACCACCAGTGGGGACAGAGCAGCCAGCCCAGCTTGGGCTTGGGCTGACTGGTTGGAGCAGTGCTGCAGCCAAGGCCCCCGCACCAACATTCACCAGCGAGCACAACTTTAGTTGGGCCATTCAAGCCACCACTGCAGGGCCAGCCACCTGGCGCAAAACCTCGCAGTTTTTCTCAGCTGAGGAGGAGTGGAGCTGGCTGACTCAGGGCTGCTCAGAAGCCACCCCCGCCACTTACAACCACAATAAAGCTCAAAATTTATGTTGTTAAGCGAGAGCTTTGGTAAATGAGTTTTGCCCCACTTTAGAATTTGTCTTGCCATTAGTTATTAAGTGAACCGTTGCTGTTGTTAAGTTAGTAACACGGTTGTTAAGTGAATCTGGTTTCCCCATTGACTTTGCTTGTCAGAAGGTAACAAAAGGTGATCACATGACCCCAGGACACTGCCACTGTCATAAATATGAGTCTGTTGCCAAGCATCTGAATTCTGATCACGTGACCATGAGGATGGTTGTAAGTGTGCAAAATGGTCATAAGTCATTTTTTCAGTGCTAAGTTTGAACAGTCACTAAATGAACTGTTGCAAGTCAAGGACTACCTGTAATTAACACACATATCCACCATATTTCTGCTAACAAAGATCCTGCCCTTACAGGTCTGGGAGATAACAATGAGCTAAGAATCATACCATGAGCTTCCATTCTCATTAGCCATCATTCTCCATCATCTTAATTGCTATCTAATCTGGTCCTTAAATAACCTAGATTCAATTTTACATCCTGTTCATTACTTTTTGAATGCTGCTTCCAGCATATTAAGGAAAGGTCTTTCCCACTTGCGGCAAACCATAGCTTAAACATACTCCGTCAACATCTCTTTCAGCTCTACTGGAGTAAAAATAAGATTATCCCTCTTTCTTCCAACACCATGCAAGGGTAGCCTCAAGATGTATAAAATCAAGCTTTCTCATCTAGTTATTTTGAAGTAAAGTCAAGTGATTTGAACAATGGTAATAAGGGATGGCAAATGACATGCAGGTACAGTTTTCTGCTGAATTAAAGATGGATGGTGAGCAATTCAAATCAACGAAAGACTCTAAATGAGGCTTTCACCTGAAAAATAAGTTGTGTACTCATGCCATAAGCATGCAGAGTAGTTCACATACGATAGCTGATTTGCAAAATCAAGATAAACTCCTCAGAAAACAAGGCAGGAGTTGGAGCAGAACAGAATAATTGTTGTTTACAAAAAGTTTCAATGATAAATTAATTCTTGTGCTCTGCCTGCAATAATAAACTTTAACTTGTGGTATTGAACAGCATTAGTCATGGTTCAACAGATAGCATTTACAGATGTATAAATTCAGCCGATTATCATGTAGCACGTGGAGTTTAGTCCCTGCTTAGTAAAAAGAAACAAGTAACATTAAATCATGGGGAAAAAAAATACTTCTTATGTATCACACACACCTCTTCTTTTCTCTTTAGATTCATTGCTTACACACCTACATTAAATTGTTTGCTACCTCTTTTTCATATCAGAGACCCATTTGGAATGCCATTATTTTAGGAAAAGCAATTATATCTAGCCATTGATAAATTACCCCAAGATTCTAAATGTTTTCACTTTAGGAAAGCAGGGGTAGAAAAATCTAAAATGATATATGTATGCACACATATATATATATACATCAGTGGTGGGTTTCAAAAATGTTTACTACCTGTTCTGTGGGTGTGGCTTGGTGGGCATAGCAGAGGAAGGATACTGTAAAATCTCCATTCCCTCCCCAATCCAGGGGAAGTTTCCTGCAAAATCCCCATTTCCTCCCGATCAGCTGGGATTTAGGAGGCAGAGAATAGATGGGGGCAGGGCCAGTCAGAATTTTTACTACCGGTTCTCCGAACTACTCAAAATTTCTGCTACTGGTTCTCCAGAACTGGTCATAACCTGCTGAAACCCACCTCTGATATGCATACAGTGTGTATACACATTACCTACAGTGTGGGTGTGTGTGTGAGAGAGAGAGAGGGAGGGAGGAAGAGGGAGGGAGGGTGGGAGGGAGAGAGAGGGAGTGTGTGTGTGAGGGAGTGTGTGTGTGTGTGTGTGTGTGTGTGTGTGTGTGTGTGTGTGTGTATTAGAATAATATGCCTTGCATCCTTTTGGCAAAAGGACAATGGATACTTCTGTATCTGCTCCTGATCTGTAAAAATCTAGTGATTTTTGTTCATGGCTTTACCTGGTCATATCATGTAATGTCCACATCGATCTGCTATTATTTCAAAAACTCAAAATCCCATTGAAATGCTATTTACTTAAATTAACATTGCGATGCACTCCTGACAAATTATGTAGATAATTTGTTAAGTTCAGAACTGCACACTGCAAGTATAGAACAGATAGTTCTGACAGTAAATATAATCTTGAAGTTCCCCTTTGAAAGCCAGACTTGAGGGGTAAAGGGGCACATTTTGAATGTTGACAGCAAGATGTGGACAAAATCATTGGAAGAACTAGCCTACTGACAAAATGACTCCCATGCTGGGCTTGGCCATGCTACAACTCCAGTGAATAAATTAATACTATAGTTATTGGAAATAAATTGATTGCTTGTAGACAATAAACAAAACAACACCTTTGGTTTGGTTTAGTTTCAAACCAAGAGAAACAAACTGAGAGATATTCTACAGTGGCACAAATGAAATATAAATGTCCACAGGCAGATTTAGAGATATTCTTGCCTATTTCCCATCCATTTCTGCTCTTTTTCCCCACATTCCAGTGGTGGAGACTAAAATCTGAAAAAAACAGGGAGACAAAATTTCTGAAGATGTTTCTTTTTGTGGGACATCTCTAGAATTTTGTCTCAGGGACAGACCACACTGTCAGCTTTTCCCATGACACAGATGATGGGTGGGCTTAGTTTAACCCCATGTATACAATAACTGGATCTCTTAGGGCTAACTTTAACCTACCAGAAATTACTTGACTAGATTAATTAACATTTGCAATTCCAGTAACACACAGTCCTCCCATTAGCCCAATTAAGCATGCCAGGGGAAACAGCAATATGCTTTCAGTGTACAATGTATAATAATGTAAACAACAAAAACTTACTATAAGCTCAGCAAATGTTTTCAGTTTGTTGTTCGTTGTGAATATATCATTACCAGCTTACTTTATTTTTATAACATATCAAATAATGCATGGGACACATATTGCCACATATAAAGAAAAAAGAAAATATAGCATTATTTTAATAATCCTTTTAAAAATATTGTTGTATTGAAGCATCAGCAGTACTGTCAGATATACTGCAGGAATTTATTTTGCAGCATAATATCTTACCTCCTGAGAATTTATATTTAATGAAGTTATTGAAGAACCATTTATCATACAGTTCAAAGGTTTAAAAACTTCAAAATGGAGAAGAACAAGGCAGATTTTAAAAAAACACACATGGTTTAAAGAACAGGCAGATCAGCAGTTTTTAAAAAAATTAGTCCGAGAAATCCTTTTCATTCTTTAAATTGATTGAGGACCAGGGGCAAGTTCCAAATCCCAGTGCTACTGGTTCGCTCATGCACATGTGTGTGCTCACGTGCATGCATGGCGCTTCTGCGCATGCGCAGAAGTGTCCAGTGGGTGGGCAGAGCCTCCTGCCACTACTGCTACTGGTTCAGCTGATCCGGTAGCAACCCACCACTGTTGAGAACCGCAAAGAGTTCTGGTTTATATCGATTATATCAATATTTGCTGTATTCGAAATTAAAATTGAGAAATGCAAAATTATTGTTTTATTTATTTATTTATTTATTTATTTATTTCACTTTGTCGACCCCCCCCCCTCCGAATGGGGCTCAGAGACCCCATAGGTCCCCAGCAACACTTCGAGAACTGCTGGTCTAGTTGAAAATTCTATACAAGAAAAATTTATTTGACTAGGTATTTGTTTACTTTATTTGTATAAACATTTCCCTCTCATTGTCTAATTCACTTGCAGAATTCATGTTGCAATTTGGAACCTAGACCTAAACCACTAATCTATCAGATTTCATATAATGTGGCTCTCAGATGTAGTATGAAGAATTCCCCCCTCCTTTTTTCCCTCTCAATTCTATCTCCTCTTTGACTACACTGAAGCTAGTAAAAATAAAAAGATTGGGATCTATTACTTTTAAAGGGATCTGGATAAATTCATGGTGGTTAGATTTATTATCAATAATTACCAGTTCTGGTGGCAATAAATACCTTTAGCACTGGAGGCAATGTGTTCCAGACTGCTGGGAAGTCCTTCTTGCAAACTTCCCAGAGACTTTCTATGAACAGAAGGCTGTCTTTTGATCTGATCCAGAACTCTTATGAGAGAGGACAGAGGGGAGGGAGAGAGGGAGGGGGAGAGAGAGAGAGAAAGAGTGAGTGAGTGAGGGAGGGAAGGAGGGGAGAGAGAAGGGGAGGGAGGGTGGAGACTGGAGAGAGAGAGAAAAAGAAAGAGAGGGAGGGGAGAGAGAGAGTGAGAAAGAGAGGGAGGGAGGGGGAGAGAGAGAGAGGGAGGGAGGGAGAGGGGGGAATGACAGTTTCAGAGAGGTACAGAGCATAGCCTTCCAAAATCCCTTTGCTGTCCACTCAGCTCTACTTTCCATCATCTACTTTAGACCACTTGCCTCTTTCTTCTCACAAAATCCCATGCCTAAGGCAGTTAGATGCCAATTTAATGCAGCAGCCACATGGCCGGGACACTAAGTAATGAGACGTCAGACAGCTAGCCTGTGGACAAGATGCTTAAAGCAGCAGAGTATGCTATCAAACATTTGCCTCATATAGGAAAACTGAAGCCAAGTGTGACCTTGTATTTGTAAGGTCCTAAAAATGTCTGCGCATTGTCTTGGTGGGTGGCAAGGAAAATACACTTTTAAAAGACAACTGTGTTGATTGCTTCTCTTTAAAAAGATTAAAATTTATGCACAGGATTTAGTTAGCACATCTGTAAAAGAGTTATGTTAAGGAATAAAAATTGGCAGATTGGGAAAAACCATAATGAGTCTGGAGATTCACAGGTGTTAAAAAGCTGAAAAGCAAAACCAGATGTTGCTCCTGGTTTTATGCTGCAGTCTGAAGATAATCAAATGAATTGGGGTTATTAGAGAGACAGATTTTACTACCGCTTTAATTTTATTACACTTTTACTTTTATTTATTTAATTTATTGCATCTGCTTTTTCTATCAGATTTGGCAAGACGTGTATGCTTTGGTCCTATCTCTCAGGAAACTATATTTCATGGGCCCAAGGATGCAGGCTTTTTCTTCCATGGTTCCCACTTATGAAACATTCTCCGTCTAGAAGTGAGGTCAGCTTCATCCCTCTTTATTTTCCTGAAGTCCTTTAAGAGTCTCAGGGAAATGGCAAGAGCTTGAGGTGCTCCATTGCTGATTGAATCCATTGTGCATGTGTGTGTGTAAAAAATTTGCAATTTATATTTACTGACAAAGAAATAAAGGGAGACTAGTATAGATCTATTTCAAACTATATTACAGGTAATCTTCCACTTAGTATTTGGGACTGGAATCACAGTCACTGAGTGAAGTGGTCAAGTGAGATGCCACTCAACCTTGTTCAAGTACAAACCTGGTGCTCCGAATGTCATAACATAGGGTGTTAGGGAGAGGGCCCAAACCTACTGACTATGGTGGGATGGGGAGAGGGAACAAATCTCCCAGCAAATCTTGGGAGACCCAAGCCCTTTCCCCAGTACATCAGTAAAATGAACACAAGAACAATTATGTTTGCTAGTGTTTTCTTCAGATTTGTGGTTCATTCCTCCAGCATGCCAAGGGATTTCCTTCTGGAGGAGTAATTCCTCAATGCCCTAGAGGAATGGACTTCAACTCTGGCAATGATGGCATTATCAAATGCCATCATTCTGGAAGGCAAACGGGTAAAATGCCAATGTCTCCACCCCTCTGGAGGTGAAAAAGGTAGTGAACACCAGCATTGTGATCATTTCAGAACACTGATGTTCACTAGCATTTTCACCAGATTTGAGGTTCGTTCTTCCAGCACGAATGGAGGAAATCCTTGGCATGCTGGTGTAATGGAACTCAAAACCAGTGTTCCCTCTATTTACAGCATTTCCTGCTGCATTTCCCATTGATTTTCTGGGGAAGCCAGAAGAGAAGATTGCAAATGGCAATCACATGATTAGAGATCATTTGGCAACCAGTTGTAAATGCAAATGTTTTATGATGCCATTACCTTTTACAATGGCTGGAAGTCAGTGGTGAAATCCAAATTTTTTTACTACCAGTTCTGTGGGCGTGGCTTGGAGGGCGTGGTGTGGCTTGGTGGGCGTGGCTTGGTGGGCATTGCAGGGGAAGGATACTGCAAAATCTCCATTCCCACCCCACTCTGAGGCCAGCCAGAGGTGATATTTGCCGGTTCTCTGAACTACTCAAAATTTCCGCTACTAGTTCTCCAGAACCTGTCAGAACCTGCTGGATTTCACCCCTATTGGAAGTGCTTTACAGGCCATAAAGCACCCATTCTGAGGGTGTCATGACTGTGAATGGTTGTTAAACAACAGATTGTAAATCAAAGACTATATGTATGACTATTGTTGACTGTTCATTGCTTCTTTTTTCTTTTTTTGCTGTATGCTGCCCAGAATCACTTCTTGTGAGATGGCAGCCATATAAATTTGATAAATAAATAAGGTTGTTTGTTTTGTTTTTTTTACTAAACTTTAGTCAGCTGAGCTATAATTTAACCACATTTGTCCACATTCCCCCTCTGAGAAAATGGCAGCTGGTCTTTCAGCAGGCTAAATTTGAAATGAATCCAAATCACAGCAGATTTTGTTTTGGGGCAGCAATACCATTATGTTAGATTTGCAGTAGGGGAGTTCACCATTTAAAAACTGCCTTTGGTCAGGCAGAGGCAAAAATTATATGATTTTGCCATTATAAAATGGAAATGAGGAAGCAAAAGAAGGAAGGGTTCCCACAGCAGATACTATCAATAAAGTATATTTGGTAATAAATCACTCTTCCCTGGACTGTGTCGCATTAAGGGTACAATGACTTGATGAAGCAGGTTTATGCAACTATTATCTTTTGACCACATTCTCTTTTAATATCTAAAACTGACCAAAACATGTGACCTGATATTCTTAAACTTATTCCTAACTTTTCAATTTTCAATAGGACATTTGTGGGCTGCCTGGCACATTAAACGTTATACTGAGTTTCAAAAAAAAAAAAAACATCTACTTTTGGAGCAGAATTTTCTGCTCCCATGCATATTTCATGTGAAGCAGAGCAAGCTGGGAAATAGAACTAGGTTTGGGAGCTGAAACTTTGCTTTAGCTCATGTTAGGCTCTCAACATTACCGCAAAGCAAATACATACAAAACTCATTAATTAAGAATTCATACAATTTCATGGACATAAGAATAAGATGGACAGATTGTTCTGCTATACATTCTCATCACCGATGCTGAGCTAAACTGAAACTTCTTGTATAAATCAATTATCTTTCTACAGATAATGAATCAATGTCTCTCCAAATCTATTAAGATTACAAACTAATTCTGTACTTCTGTTTATAGTTGTTCTCTCACCCTCCATCCCTCCCTCTCTCCCCCCTCTCTCCTTCACTCTCCCTCCCTTCCTCCCTCCCTCTCTGTCTCTCTCCCTCCCTCTCCATATTAGCAAATATAGGCTTCATGCTATGCCAGGAACTTAGTAATATTTTTGTTGGCAACCTGATGTTTTATTTCCTCATCTGGCCCCGCATCCCTTCCAAGCCTACCTTTTCAAACCGGTGCCTTTATGCAACCCTTAATCTTTGCAGGAAAAAAAAATGCTGCATAAATGCAAGTTTGTTTTATGCATAATAATGTATCAAGCGGCATTCTGGAAAATTCAATGACTTTCATTCCACTTTATAAATTTCACTTTGGATCTCAAGGGATGAGATAAAGTTTTCTGCCTCTTCTACGGAAATCCAAGGGGGCTGCAGCACACTCTATTACTGTAATATATGCCAAGCTGAATGTTCTCAGAAGCTCTCTTTTCTTTTAAACCCAGCCAAATACAAAATCAATGCAATTTTCCTCTGAAGAGTAGGCTGTCTGCGTTGCCTAGAGGCTTCAAGTTATTAGGGGCCTATTTTGGTGAAGCTCTCCCTTCTTTCTGAAATGCTTTTGTCCAATAGCTCCATGTGTGCTTGGTAAGAATAGTAATGAGTTATTAAAAATGTGTCATTTATATCTACTGGTGCAATTTTCTTGGCTTATAGAATAGATGTCCTCATCATTTGCTTTAAACAGTATAGAATATTCAGACCTGCCTCATATTCCTTTGACCTCCAAGATTCACCTCAGAAATTAAAAATAGAGGAATATCTCCACTGGCTTGAATATTAGTACTCTCTGCAGGATGTAGGGCCCCAAGAGAACAGAGCCTCAGACACATACAGATGTGGGAAGGATCTGAAAGGAATCCTTCACATAGTGCTTCAATAACAATTTCAGCAGAGTTGTAGTCTATGCACATGTAACTAGGAGAAGCCTCTGAGCACAAGGAAATCCATGTGGTTCAGTTCCAAGCTGGGAGAAAGACACTGGAAACAATATGGAGGCTTTTTGGAAAGAACAGAACCACAAAGACAGTGTGCAGTTCTGGGTCAGCTGCAAAATGGAGTTAAGAATGGGTGGGTTTTTATACCTTCTGGATTCCTATGGGGGTCATGTAGGGGTTATGTAAGGGTCATGGCTGGCTCTATAGGCAAAAGAGGAAATGCAAATCCTAGGTCCGTGATGGCAAACCTATGGCACACATGCCGGAAGTGGCACACAGAGCCATTTTTCCGGACACGTGAGCTGTCACCCAACTCACCTGCAGCTGCACATGCATGCATGCCCCAGCTGGTGTTCAGGCTTCCGGTGCGCATGCATGCAATTCAGGGGGCCCAGCTGGTCTTTGGAGCTCTCCTGCGCATGTGCACGCATTTGTGCATGTGCATGTGAGTACTGATGCGTAGCGAGTGCATGCACAGGCACTGTTCTGTGACAGAACACAGATGCTGAAAACCATGCACATGCGCAGCTGGTGTGATTGCACATGCAGTGCACAGGGGGAAACCTGCAAGCATGTGCAGCTGGTGCGATTGCGTACAAAGTGCTTGGTGGGGGGCACGTGTGAAAGCTGTGTGCATGTGTAGATGCTGTGGTTGCACACGGAGCTCACAGTGGGGGTTCGCACAAAAGCTGTGCACATGCGCAGATGGTGCGGTTGTGCATGCAGCACATGGCGGAGGAGCCGCATGTTAGCAGGGATGGCATGCACGAG